CAGGGGCGAAGGGGAATCGAGCACGCAGCCCCCATCCCATATCTGTCTCTCACCCCGCACCCGGGGGTCACGCTGCCTGGAACGGGCACGTGAACAACACACGTAGATGAAACACGCCAGAGGGAGGCGTTCGCTTCCTGCGTCTCTCCTGTCCCTCTGCTGACACTGCATCATTGATTGCAATGAAGGAAGCCGCCTCTGGCTCTGGTCCGTTTGGCTCAGTGGATAGAGCCTCGGCCTGCGGACTGAAGGGTCTGGGGTTCTAGTCGGGTCAAGGACACGGACCTTGGTGGCGGGCTTCTCCCTAGCTCTGGTCCTGATAAGGGCTCATGGAGGAGGCAACCAGTCGTTTCTCTCCGCCTTTCCCTCTCTCTTCCACTGTCTCCAAAAACCCCTGGGGAAATACCATCGGGGGGAGGATTAACAAAAAAGAACAAAGCGACCTCAGGCTAGGAGAGGCATTTGATGCACCACTCAGTGATTTGCTTTGTTCAGAATGGCCGGCCTCCGGGGGAGGAGAAATTCGGGAGATGGCGAGCCTTTAAGGGAAGCCCCCTGGGCAAGCAACCAGACCCTGAGCCTGAGGAACTAGCTGGCCTCTGGGCTAAGGCCCTGCGACCCAGCACTGAGGGCGACGAGAGGCTGTGAGGAGAGCGACAGGTCCGTGAGGGGTCCCGGTGTGCACATTCTGGACGTAAGCGGAGTCCTCTGTGTGGGGGATGGTGTGAGCGGGCACCAGGAAATATGGCGTGAAAACAGCCTGAGCCATTCAGGAGAGGGCGCTGGTGCTGGAATACTGAGGAGTAAGTGGTCCCCACGTGTGTGATCTGCTCTGAAGTGGCTCGGCAGATAAGAAACATGTCTGGCCGAAACCAGTTTGGCTCATGGATAGAGCATCGGCCTGAGGACTGAAAGGTCCCAGGTTCGATTCCAGTCAAGGACATGTTCGATTACATGGTTGCAGGCACATCCCAGTCAAGGACATGTTCGATTACATGGTTGCAGGTAGGGAGTGTGCAGGAGGCGGCTGGTGGATGTTTCTCTCTCATTGATGTTTCTAGCTCTCTATCCCTCTCTTTTCCTCTCTGTAAAAAATTAATAAAATATATTTTTTTAAAGAAATGCATCACAAGTGTGACATGTATGAAACGGGTATGACATGGGCGGCATAGCAGGAGACGTGGGGAAGGAGAGATGCTGCAAATACGGGGACCTGCGTGCAGCTCCGTTTCCCTGACCCAACCCAGACCACCTTCTTCTCCTGAGTGACAGCCGCTCCCGCCACGGACAGACGGGCGGCTGGGGGAGGGGACGCCTCGGTTCTGGCCCAGAACCGGTGCGAGGGTCTCCCTCCAGGAGCCCGATGAAGGCTCTGGGAACTCCACCCCTTCGAATTTCTCCAGCCAATGTCCTTAATGCCCGTGGCCATCCTCTTCCCTCACCCGTGTCCCAGCAGCATGTTCGTCACCGCCGCCTCCGGGCATCGCCACGTCTATGTCTCAGCCACGCCTCCCACGTGCACGGCTGCAGGAACCCTGGCCGGTCTCCCCGGTGATACCGGCCCCAGGATTCCCAGCAGCAGAGTGGCCCTTGATGAGCTCGGCGCCTGTCACTCCTGGCTCAGAGCCTGCAGCTGCTCCCATGTCGCTCCAGTAAAGCCAGTGTCTGTGCCAGGGCCTGGAAGGTCTGAGATGTGGCTCCCGGGCTCACACGCTTCCCCTCACCGACCCTCGGCCTCCTGCCCTGGGCGCAGCCCCTGGCTCACCCATCACGGCCTCACGGCCTCCTTGTCTGGACACAACAGGCAAACCCCGTCCATCCCAGGTCCTCGCTCCGGCTGCTGCCTCGCGGGCGCTGCCCCTGGAAACAGGTCTGGCTCCTCCGTCCTTGGCTTATGGAAATGGCTCAGGTCTCACCACCTCCTTGGGGAGCGCAGGCTGGACCCCGTTTATAGGACGCCCACCCTGGACACCCACACTCTCTGCCAAGTCACCCGCACCCAGCTCCGCCACGCCTTTCCCCACGGCACCGATCACATCACGTGATCACACCGATGACAAATCCACCTGACGCTGCCTCTGCCCGCCTCCCGGACACAGGCCCACGCAGCCCATCTCTGTCTGTTCGCCGGCCGGCATGTCCCCAGCGGCCGGTGCCCATCCGGGGGGGAAGGGATACAAGGCCTGAGCAAACGCAAACCATGGCACAGAAACACATTCAGGCAGAAACGAGGACTTGAGGGACTGCCACCCGGTACTGTGAAGTGAGAAATGCCGGACGATGCAATGGGCTTACTCTCGTTCCTTTCGGGGAAAGAAAGCCACGTTCTAGGTGTCGGAGCAGGTGTTTGGTCTGAGCACAGAGCAGCACTGCGTCAGTGTGCGGGCTCCGCCGCCCAGCTCCAGCCCAGGCTCCCACAGACTCTCACTCTGTTTGCTTCTCCAAGAGCAGTCATGGCTTACGGAAATGGCTGCCTGAGGACCCTCCTCATGCAATCCCGTTAAGGCATCAAAGGGAAGGGAGCCCTCTTCCTCCCGTCCCTCCTCAACTCCCAGGAGAGGCGGCAGGCCTGCAAAACAGATCCTCCCCAAGGAGACACCTAGACGCCTTGCCTTCGGATTCTCTGCAGGGACCCCACTCTAGGACACGCTGCACAGAAAGGTGGGTGCAGAGCAGGATTCAGGGGTCCCCTTGGTGAGGGAATCCCAGTTCTCCAGCAAGATCCCCGCGCCTCAGAATCTCAGAACAGGACGGGGTTAGATTCTCTGAGTGTGAAATCAACACACGGCTGGATTGCGTTCATTCCCTACAACAGAGGTATTCTATGAAACATACGCATCCAAGTGAGCTACTCCAAAGCCTGGCGAGAGAACAGGACAACTTTCAATGAAGGCCCTTAGTTTAACTGCTGCATCCTCTCTTCTCAGACCCCTGATTTCACAGCCAGAGTCAGGCCTGGACTTGGGAACCACCGGGGAATCCAGAACCTGCATGCAAACAGGGAGAAGACGCGTGGACACTCAGCGTGGACCTTACCGCACGCCTCAGATCTGATGCCGAACCTCAGCCTGTGGAAGGCACGGGAGCGGGGCCGGTCCCTCGGTCCTCCCTGCCACCTGGCCCTGTCTGTGCCCAGCGGCCTCGTGGGTCAGGGTCTCATGACCGTTATGAATCTGTGCCACACACAGGATGTCACCTGGGTTTACTGAAAACATCTGCACACTCACCTGAATGACAGGTAAGCATTTCAGGTGTGACTGGATGGAGGTCTGTTTTACATGCTGAAGTCACAGGGACCAGGAAAACCGAAGTGTGTCCTTAGCATTGTAAGAGTCAAAGGCGGGGACCTGATGACTTCGGAAGTTTTTCATGCTGTGACCCAAACTATAAAAACATCCCACTAATCAGCTACGTGGAGAAATAAGTTGGAATTATCAAATATATCAAAATAAAATACATTGACCAGCTACTTTTCTTTCTTTATTTTTCTTTTTTACCAACTATTTCTTTTGTGGTTGTTACCCTCTCCCAGGATATTTTCCATTGATTTTTCAGGGAGTGGAAGGGAGAGGGCGGCTCAGAGAGAAAGACAGAAAGAAAGAAAGTGATGAGTTGGGTTGCCTCTCACACACACTGGGAATGGAGCTTGCAAGGGAGGCACACGCTGGTGACCGGGACCCTTCAGTCCACAGGCCGATGCTCTCTGCACTGAGCCAAAGCAGCCAGGGCCAGCTATTTCTAAAAGCCTAAATAATATAAGGCCAAAAAAAGAGGAATTATGTAACATTTCTAATATTTGTGCAACTTTTTAGTATATCATGTTTAGTAACATTAAACAAAATAATATTCATACATTATTCACATTTGGGCCTGAGATCTCTCAGATTTGGGAATTTTTATGTCTGAGAGGAAGAATTAAGGCAGAATTTCAACCTCTGCTTTGAGAGAATGTTGGTTTCACCTTCATCCATTTGGCAAGAGCATCTGTGCAGCTGCCCTCCCACCAGGGCAGGCTCTCTCCTGGGGCCTCTGGGCAGTCCTCAAACTCCCACCTGAGCCAGGACAAAGGCTCCTCCCATCCAGCCTGCCCTGGGGCAGTACAGGGATCAGGGGCGCCTTCTGAGGGGGTCCCCTCCTGCACCTGCTCTTCCTGAGGGCGGGAGATCTGTGGCTGAGATGCCTCCTGGCGTCTGCCCAGTGCGGACCCCGGACAGTCCTGCGACCCCCTAGACAGCATCCCTCACCACGCCAGCCTGCTCCTGCCACACCTCCATCTTTAACCCTATCTGTTCAGGGGAGGGACCAGGGGTCCAGGGCGGAGTGGGGGTGCTGGGAAGCTGGCAGGGAACCATCTGGAAGGACCAGAGCTCTGGACTCAGCTGCTCCTGCAGGTCTCACTGGGGACGAACATGCTCTCAGGGGTGGGCGGGGAGTTCCTCCCGGGGCTCGCCCGGCACCCCTGCCTTGGGGATCCAGACCTTAGGGATCCCCAGAAACCGCTAGGACACAAGGTGGCAAACCCAGAGGTCTGGAGTTTGCAGTCCCCTCTCCTCTTGGGCGTGGGCTCTCAGCACCCAGCACCCAGCACCCCAGGCTGGTCCCCTAGGCTCTCAGCACCCAACACCCAGCACCCAGGCTGGTCCCCCGGGCGCCCTGAGTCCGTGCTGCACCGGCCACGTGGGCCACGGGGCGGATGGAGCCAGGGGAAGGAGGGAGGAGGGAGGAGGGAGGAGGGAGGAGGGAGGCGGGGCGGACCGCACGGGGACTCCCCCCCCCCCACCCCCCCACCCCCCCCCCCCGGCGGGGGAGCGGGCGGGGGCGGCGCAGGCACTTCCTGCGGGGAAGCCGGACGTCCCCGCCGAGCGGTGCCCCCACCGGGCAGAGGGGCGGCTGACGTGGCGCTGCCCAGGCCGGAGGGCCAGGCCGCCCGGAGCACCTCCTCCCGGGACCGGCCCCGGGGAGCCCCGGGAGGCCCCGGAGGGCAGGAGGCGGGCACCCACCTTGGCGACCCTGCGGGCCGTGAAGAGCCCCATCCCGTCCTGCACGCGGGACGCCCGGAGCGAGAAGCGGTCCGGCACGTACATGCCCAGCATCCTGCTCCCCGCGGCCCGGCGGCGGGGCCGGCGGGCGGAGGAAACGGAGCTTCCCGATCCCCGCCTCCCGCCCTCCGATCCCGGCTCCGGTCCCAGATCCCCGGGCCCCTCCTCCGCCGGCCCGGCCCCTCCGCTGCCGGGGCAGGCGGGGCGCCGCGCGCTGATTGGCCCCGAGGCGCAGGCTCGGACCCAAGCGCTGCCCACCGCGGGCTGCCCACCCCGCCGGCCGCCTCCCTGCCCAGCCCGGGCTCTGCCCTCACCAAGTGCCGGGGGACTTCACTGCTGGAGCAGAGGAGGGGGGGCTGTCACTGTCTCAGCCCCTGCCACGGACAGACAGGGACACGGCCACCGCCTGCACCCCCAGGCCAGCTCCCCCAGCCCCAGGCTCCGCCCTGCACCCCAGGCCGGCTCCCCAGCCCCAGGCTCCAGGCGGGAAGCATGGGCCTCTCGCAGCCCAGGACGCAGCTCTGTCTGCTGGGCTTGTCTGGGGGTGAAGCCCTGGGTCCAGGGAGCAGGCTGTTCAATGTGAGAGGAAGTGCACACCCCCTGCCTCCAGCCCATTCCAAGTCCATCCAAAGCGGACCACGAACTGCTGAAGTAACAGTTAAATGGAGCAGAAACTGCTTTTCTAAGTGGTGCTGATGCCTGGCTAGTTCTCGCACTTCCCAGGATGCCCTGCTCCTGGTCTCTGGCTTCCACATCACCTGACCTGGTGGCTTTCCTTCCGGACCCCCTGGCGAGGGGGGGGGGGGGGCCGGGAGGCCCAGACACTGCCACCGAAGCCGCAGCGGCGCCCTCAGCCTCAGGGCTGGCCTTGGTGTTTTCGGAAAACTCAGCCAGGACCTTTCCATGCCTTTCTCCTGGTATGCTTAGTGATTTTCCATCCGGGGTCTGTTCTTGGAAACCAGTGATGTTCCCATAAGCAGTGATGTTCCTGACAAAGCAATAAAATAATAACTTAGGCATAATTAATGGCCATGCTCTTAAAACACAAAATCCAACTGAGTACATCTTCAAGATCTCACTGACTTTATCGAACAACCGGTGAATCCCATTTGGCAGAGGGACCTCGGGGGATCTTTACAAAACCAAAGGCTTTCCTGGGCAGAAGGGAGCGGGGACCAGGACGGCCAGGCAGCATGGCAGGCTGGCCCTGCAAGGTCGCTCTCCTCTGGGGACCAGCAGAGTCTGGCAGACCGAGGATCTCATTAAGGCCGGTCAGGGTCAGAGGAGTCGGGATTCTCCGGTGAAAATCCAGTTCTAGGAGGCCGGGCACTGTGGGCTCAGCCTGGGTGCAGGGCTTGGCCTCAGGGACTCAGTTGTGGGCCTGTCCTCCTGTGCTCACAGCACACAGCCCGGACATTATCCCTTTCCTCAGGACACAAATAGTTCCTGATTTCTTGAGTAGAAGAATTCTATTAAAGTTTAGGAAAAGTAGGTTTTTTGAGGCATAATGAAGAAAACCAGTAATAGCAATATTTGGAGATTTTAGAGAATATAACTAATGACCTTGGGTGCGGGAGGGGGTTCAGAAGGCTTCAGGGAGCGGGGAGCAAGGCCTTCATCCTCCTTCTGGATTTGGATGTCTGGTCCACCGATGGAGACATTACTTTCCTGAGGGAGGAAATGAGGGCGGGTGTGAGCACAGTGCTCGTTGGGCACATTTGAAATTAGATGGCCTCGAAGGACATAGTAAGTTTTAAAAGATGAAACAGAGGGGCCGGAGACTGGGACCAGGACATGGGCTTTATTGAAGAGAAGAGTACCCCTGCGGCTGCTTCCAGAGAGAGAGCGGGAGAGAGCGAGGGCCGGGGTTCGTGTCCTTTTTAAGGGGAGGAGAGGGGACGGGTCTCAGGGCCCTCAGCACATGCTGATTGGTGGTTTCATGTGAGGCCTATGATTAGGGACCTAGGGACTGGGGAATCAGGGCTTAGGGTATTTGGCAGGTGCTGATTGATGGTTATCAAGTTTCACTAAATATGTATTAATTAAAAGTGAATTTTGAGACTAAGCTGAGATTTTTAGACTAGTTGTTGGTAAAGGTAGAATTCGCTGTTATGCCTCAAAGATTCTGGACTAAGCAACTCATCCCAGACCCTTTACCCAGCGCTGAGCCGAGGCCAGGCCAGGTCCTCGGGGCCAGCTGGAACCAGACGGAGGGCGGCCCCTGGCATTTCCCCGGGAAGCATCCTCTGTCTGGGGCGTCTTTCCGCTCCGGCCCTGAGCCATACAGGCTTCTACGCCCAGTGCTCAGCCATTCCGTGGGCACAGACGTGGGCACAGACGTGGGCACAGCTTTCGATCGTGAGAGAGAGCGAGGTCTAGCCTGACAGCCCCAGTCACTGGTGGCTCTGGAACAAAGTTACCAGCTCACAGTCATGTTTACTAATAAGGAAACGGTAAAAAGATTTAAAAAAACAAACAAACAAACAAACAAAAAACCTTGGTAAAGGTAAATCTGAGCGTACCGAAGCTTAGAACCTTACAGATCTTTTGTGAATCTGCATCAAGCATTTTGTTACGAAGCAAACAGTGTATTTCATTAAAGCATGGTGTGCTCTTTTTCTTTATTCTGAAGATCTCTTACCTCAAACGTGGAAACCAGCAATAAAAATAATCTCTATCCCAGCACACAGTGAGGGTACATGTTTCCAAGCCAAGAGGCACCATCGTGGCCGGAAATTTGATTTTGAAGCCTGGGAGACAGTGGTGGTGCGATGAGTCATCTCTTAGAACTTTAAAAGCTCAAAAGTGACCTTTCAATATTGTCTTTGAAAAATGGGAAATTAAAAATCTGCTTTATACCAAGCGTTTAAATCCAGACTTAAAAAAAAAAAAAAAAGAAGAAAATCAAAATATTGATATTAAATTTCGGCCAGGCTCTTGATTTATTTATTCTGGAAACTATGGCACTACCCAGACATGCGAGAAATGACCCCAAACACATGTCTCCTTACTTTTGAGTTTGCTTGTGGCAGAAATGGATCCGCCTAACACAAGCTCTGGTGATGAAATCAAGCTTTGCTGGTGCAGCCTTGTCTTTGCAGGGAGGACTTGAATTAAAATTCTATATTAATTAACTAGTTCACCGCACAGACTGTCCGTCCCATTGTCCTGACTGTGTCTCGGTTACTAATGACTTTCCAACGCCCTGGTAGAATAAAAGCCGGGGAGAAAAAAACTTGCTGTCCGTAGTCCTGAGAGTCAGAAGGGTGTTGTCATGAAAGAATGTGAAAACAACTTCCCCGAGCAGAAAAGAAGAAAGATGGACTGGGTGTGACTCCCAGGAAGAAGGAAGATCCTTGAAAGTAGAACCCCACGTGGGTTGCTGGCTCTGAAACCGCCTCCCGCCTTGTGGGTCCCACAGCAGCCTGAGCAGCGAGCGAAGGTGCCCGAGCAGGCCAGGGGCCACACCTGCTCCGGCCGCACATGCCTCATGGCCTCCTGGTTCAGGAGACCAGCCCAGGGGCTCAGACCCAGAACCAGACAAGAAGCATGGCTTCCTTTCCCTACAGGAAACACGGACGTTGCTGGGACCAGAGTGGGTGATGTTATAAAAATACATAACAAGCATAAATCAGGGGTCATCCCACCCCAGATGCCAATGCTGATCCTGGACAGAGTGTGGAGGTCAGGGTGAGGGTGCAGGTAGCTGGAGGGACGTGAGGGAGGACACCAGCAAAGATGATGGTTTCCATGTTCTGAGCCTCGAATAGTTCAGAAACTGGTTGTACATCCATGATGACCTTCCTGAAACAGCCCCATGAAGGAGATTTTCCCAGCCCCATTTCATACACGAGGAAACAACCTCAGAGAAGACCAATGCATCCATGCATCCATGACATGGTGGGGGTACCTCGAACTGAGGACTGGCTGATTCTAGTGTCCCTAATTCTAGATCCAGCTGACAGATAGTGTTACGTTGTAAATCAGAAGACGCTGTGATCAATAAGCCGACTTTATGTGGAGTCCTTTTCATGTGGTTAGCGATAGCAGGCCCACAGGAAATCTCGCTTCTCACATGCTGGGGCCCAATACAGTGTAAGTCTTTCCTACTGACATGCTTTCCAGCTCTTTGTTTTCCAGCTTTGGAACGAGACTTCCGGCCTTCTGAGAAAGGCCTGTGAGCTGGGACAGGCCGCGAGACCGTCTCAATGCCTGGCCTGGCTCCAGCACTGACAGCTCTGTCTGGGGCATAGTTTATGGCCTCTCTGGAATGGGAATGGTTTTATCTTTCCCTATTATTTAAGCAAACAAACGTTTAAAGAAGCCAGAATAGCAGGGCTAATTTTAAAACAGCAGTTTTTACCCAAGATGGAGGTTACTATGCTTCAGTAGCTCCCCTCCAGGCTTAGCGGAGGCTCCAGGCAGAAGGAATTCTCCAGTTCCTTCTCTCTCTTTCTCTCTCTCCTCCCCCCCCCCACCTCTACCCACCCCCATTTCTTTCATCAACAAACTTTCCTACAACTCCTCCCTAAAATAGAGAAGACAATATGATTGGCCAAGGTCATGGTCACAGGCTCCAGTTTGGTCCAATTGGCAGTGTCTAAGAAGACTGAGTCATGTGATCCTTCAGGCTGCCCCCTCCACCTCCTCCACCTCCTCCAGCTCCTCTGCAGTGAGGGGCTGTAGACAGGACCTGTCTTTGCAGAGGTTCCTCTGAATCTGGCTGATATTCTGTGGCTTGGCCTATGTATAACCACAGCCTAGCTTGTTCACACACTTTAATCTACAGAAATAATATTTAAAAGAATCAGTAATTAATTTTAAAAAAGCAATACTGACGGTCCGAGGTTTGCCACAACCTCACAATTTATTTTGCTAGTTTCTCTTTTCCCTTATTAAGATAAAATGGTGACTACAGAGCTCAAATGAATAAGTTTAGTGAGCATGTTCTATAAACTCTGAAGCTATGGAGAGAGGACAAAGTATTATTATTATTATTATTATTATTATTATAGCAGTGTCTTACAAATTATTTAGCACAGAAACAAGGACCA